ATAATATAATATATGGTGTTGGATAACACTTATATTATAAGTGGATAACTTTGGATAACTTTGAATAATCGTTGGAAATAATATAATATATTATTCCATATATATATTATATTAATATAATATATGGTGTTGTATAATGAATAAGTGGAAGGATTTTTGTAATATGTTTCTAATGGACGGGATATTAATTCTTTTACCTGTAACAATATATCATAAGATTAAATGTAACGAGAATTATAAATAACGGTGCAGACATTATTCTATTAAAAAAATACGTAAATAAAAAATATCGTTACCATTTCTTTAAAATGTACTCTGTACCGTATTGAAAAACTCAGAAACCGATATAAAATATTTTTACAAAATTACTTACATCTCAAAGATCCTCTTTCAACGAGTCGATTCGACAATTTTTCCGAACAACACGATTGCAAATTGCCTTTCTAATAACGAAATAATTATTCTTGAATAAATATTCTCTCCTCCTTGCTTCCAAATAAAACCATTCCTTTCCTTATCCAACAATATCCTCTTGCATTCTAATTCTTCCCGAAGAAAAAAATCTTCTTCTCGAGATTAAGAAACTCGATTAACGTGAGTATTCGAGGTGTGCTCCGCAAAATCTTGGCTCTCTTTCGACGCGGGACGATCGCGGAATTTAGCGCTTTAACAAATTACGGAAGGGTGGAGGGTCGAGCAGAGAGAGAGAGAGAGAGAGAGAGAGAGAGTGAGGGGCACAGCCTCCAGGGTTGCGGAGGATCAAAGCCGGTGTACAAAGTATAATCCCAGGCCGCGTTTGAGCATCCTGTAAGCGCTTCTGAACTTGTTGTGGCCAAGATTAACGTTTCTTTAATGGCCCGTGTAATATTCCATTATGTACAGTTTGCTCGAGAATTATTGCGTCGACGTCTCCGCAAGGGAAGGGGTTGGAGGAGGAGGAGGAGGAGGGTGGAGTTAGTGGATCGGGAAAATAAGAGGAGAAATCAACGATGGAAACACGATGTTTCTTCTTTTCTGGACGGTTTTTAGAGATGATGGCTCGCCAGATTTTAGATATCACGGTTTCTATGGTGATTTGCTTTGTAGGCGATGAAGTGTTTGGTTTAGTAATGGTTTGGAATATTAAGTAAAAGGTGTAGATATTTCTTTGGTGAATTGTAATAATCGTTCGTGAATTTATTTGTATTTATATTTATTAATGTATAGATCGTTATTCTCTTGCGTTAATTAATATTAATTTCAGAGGATGAAAAATATAAACCACGAATGATTAGTTTTGTTTCTGTAATTTTTGTCAGTAAACGATATTTATTTTTCGTAAGATATCAAAGATTGTATAATTGTGCAGCTTACTCTTTTTACTTCGCTTAATTCACTTATAACTTAATAAATAATCGATCGATATTTATATATATCGTATTCATTTCGATCTTCAAAATCGATGTTTCAAAGGTATTTCACGAATATATATTCCAAATCTTCGATTGCACTTAATAATCTTCGATCAATTTTTATATATCAATTCTTGTATTTACTTTCTCAAAGATGTCTCAAAAATATAAACTTTCTAAACTTCGATTCATTCGATTATAAATATTACTCTATTTTTATATATCAATTCTCGTATTTATTTTCCCAAAGATATCTCAAAAATATACTTTCTAAACTTCGATTCATTTGATTATAAATAGTCCTCTATTTTTATATATCAATTCTCGTATTTACTTTCCCAAAAATGTCTTAAAAATATACTTTCTAAACTTCGATTCATTTGATTAATAAATATTCCTCTATTTTTATATATCAATTCTCGTATTTATTTTCCCAAAGATATCTCAAAAATATATCAATTCTCGTATTTATTTTCCCAAAGATATCTCAAAAATATATCTTCTAAACAACAC